TGGGGTCTATATTGGGGTACCTTGGTTTGGGCAAAGTAACATCCCTCCTCACAGCATGCCACAGCGCAATCGGCGCAACCCCTGAACCGCCCCACCACGGGAATTCCTGAGACCTGCTGATCTTCTCTCATGAGGGGCACTCGCCCCCTTACTAATGGGGTCTAGGACTGCCCTTGGCCCTGAGACGCATGTTTTTGGGCCTTGGCGCTCAGTGCTTTCCCTGAGTACCGTCAGAGAGGACACCGGTCTCGCCCTTCAAGCACCTAAGCACGTTTTTTGCTGTGAGCCTTGTTGTTTAAGTTCCTTCTCCTCCTCCTCCTTCAGCAACAGCAGAAACTACCACCGAGACCCCCAGAGACACAACAACCCATGGGTCTAGTCACTTCTTTTGCAGGCCACCACAGGATTCAGCTGCTGGATCCCACTGAGATCTCACCAAACATGCAGGGATTGAGCTATTTGGGTTGCTCCACGTGTTTGCCAGGACTGGCCATCTGGGCAACATAGGACTGCTCTGTAATTGAGCGTGGGCTACAGCAGCAGAAATGTAAATGGGAGGCACCTGAGCCTGATGTTGCTCGCAAGCATCGAAAACTCCAAGTGCCTGACTTCTCGCCGCACGCCTTGACATTCTCTGCCTGGATGCTGACGTGATTCACATTACTCTGAGCGGAGCAGACTAGATTCATAGACTCGATGATTACAACCCAAGCCCATAAAGACTTCCTCGACCCAAGAAGGCCCCAGCAGCCCCTGATCGGCCTTTAGGCGCCACACATGATACCTTCTGAGCAACCTATAACAGGCCCCAACAGAATACTCTTAATGAGTACTCCTCACACGCTGCCTAGTGTTGAAGACAAGCCGTAGCTCTTACACAGAAAGATCTGAAACCGGGAAGCCCGCAATATATTCCCAAGATCTCCCAGCGTGCATCTACTTTTATACATATGTACTGCGACACCATAAGTCCAGGGACGGTGAAGCCGAACTTCTCCAGGCAGGTGCCGCCCGGCGCGGAGGCGCCGAAGACGTTGATGCCTACCTGCATGGGTAAAATCAACGAAAAGGAGTTGGTTGAGCATGCCGCCTAGTCCCAGATGGTGCGAGACCCCTGCCAACAAGAGTCAACTGGGTCTCGGGTGTTGGGGCCTTTTTTCGGGTCCAAGGTTGCCCTGTGCCTGTCCGGTGGAGAACTCGCCCCAGCCGGATGTGCAGGCTGCCTGCTTCAGGGTTGGGTTTAGGGGTTAGAGCTCAGGCGGTACTCCAATGCTAGGAAACTTTTGGGAATGTGCGACTCAGGTCAAGGAAGAAGTACTTTGACAAAATTGCCAGTGAAACTGTTGAAGGCATCCAGCTGCCATTCTCAAAGCCTGACTCGTCAAAGCAGTGATCCTACAGCAATTAAATGCATAGAAGTATCCGTAAACTACAAGTGGTTCCCTGAACTCGATGGAACCCGGCTGCCTCCACGCTGAGGGTGGGGACGCCCTTGGGTAGGAGTCCCTCCTGACCAGTGACTAGAGCTATGGCACGCGGCATTGGGAACTTATGTCTTGCGAATCCCGCTGCTAAAGCGGGTCCGTAGGAGCTGGCTTTCGGGCAAGGGCCTCTTCAAACTTCTCTCTTCTTTTCATCCCCAGGAATCTTTGAACTAAAGTTGCCTTCTGAGCCATAGAGGTTGGACTGAATTTCGGGTCCCACGACGGGCTACCTGGCTTTTGTCCTGATGGAAGCTAGTGCTTGTCCAAAAACAGGTCCCGGGGGACCTGAGGGAGACAGGGGACTACAGTTTGGGGTTATAATCCCTCTTAAGTAGATAGAATATGGGGGGTTATATTGGGATAATGGAAAAGAAAATTGAAACTACTATTTAGGGTTTATGGTTAAGGGTTATAGGCCCCCTTAAGTAGATAGAATATGGCTCCGGGTATATTATAATAAGATCCCCATATACCCCAGGTCCAGGCCTAAAACCTAAACCTCACCCTTACCCGCCTGGTTTGGGGAATATGGGAGTATGATCCCTATTTCCCCATATTCCCCCAATCAGCCCTAAACCCTATACCCTAAACCAGTAAGTTACACCCTGAACGGAAGCACTCCTTGTAGCTGTCCGGCTGAGCCCGGAAGACTTCCACGGAAGGCATGGACACCACACGAACCTGGCTTTGTTCCCATAGATTCATACCAAGGGGATTTCCTAAACCCTAAACTTACTGGTGCTTCGAAGGGAGTAGGGAGATATATTATACAGGCATTATATGAGGATTAGGATTCTATCCCCTTACTCCCTACTAAGCACCAGTAAGTAAAAGCCTAAGCCCAACAGTGCTTCTTTATTACGAAGATATGGGAATGCTCTTTGTAGGAATCCCTCAAAGTTGCAGCAAACCTTCATGCACCTCGGAAAACCCTGGTATAACTGCTGTAGAACCCCTCATGAGAATTTGGCTGATTCTCCGAACATCGTAGTATAAGCCCCTCATAACCCAGAATCTCCTTCATACGACCCATAAGCCCCTGAGGTTACCCTTGCTTTGAGAAACCCTTTACCCTGCACATCCCTATAACCCCGTTAAAGACACCATAACTTGGGCGCCTGATGGGGGAAATCTTCATCTCAGTCCGAAAAATGCAAGGTCTGCCTTCTGGTCCATGGACTTGGCGGCGTCAATGCAAATGTGGACCTGGCTCACTTTTCACATTTTTTAAAGCTTTGTCGCTTAGATTCACAGTGGTAACGTCCAAGTATAGTAGTTTCCATTTTCTTTTCCATTATCCTTATACAACCCCAATATATACCCTAGTATAATATAGTAATTTCCATGTCCTTTTCCATTATCCCTACTAGAACTCTCAAAGGAGGTAGGTAGTCCCAGAAGCCTCAGAGCCAGTCCCGATGATGATAAGCTCTGGGTCAGCGCACTCCACAACCTCATAGGCACCTGGTGGTCTCCTGTACCCTAGGGATCCATGGCTACAAATAGTACCTACATTGGGCCCTGAAGTCTACAAATATTACCTACATTGGGCTATTTGGATCCCTAGGGGTATGAGGTGGGTTTAAGTGGGTGGGTTCAGCTTATGTAGAGACTACACTTAGGGGCCGTAAGGGCTGCAAGGGTTATATAGAAGTGATATAGAAGGGGCATGTGGAGGTACATGGGGGCTATATGTGGCATATGTGGGGGTTCGGGCACTTTGGGGTGGGGATCCTTGAGATGCAGAAGCCCTGAATCTGAAACCGGGCTGTTCAAAACGCTCCTGGTGATTCTGATCCCTCTTGCAGCAAGATGGCGTCCACAGACTAATGGAAACCCCAACCTTAAACCGAAGACTCCTGTTCACAAACTTTCTGAGGCCCTGGCCCTTCAAGGTGTTCTCGATGGACGAGTTGGGGAGGTTTGGCAGAGCCTCGGCGTGTATATCCCGGGGGGACAATGGGGATATAGGGCTTTTAGGGATAAGGTAGACAAAATGGAAACTACTATTTAGGGTGTCTTCTTATCCAGGCAAGGCGTAGAAGTGAATGCGCACGTATCCCTCATTGTTGCCCACTTATGTTTTCGGATGGAAGAAGTTCAGCTTTTGACACACAAGCTTGGTACTTATTTCGTATCCAGATAAGTGCCCCTGTTGATGGTAAATGTCCCTGCCAAAAACCCTGGAACTTTCAACGGACGAACCCGTGTTCTGAGACTATACGCGGACCCCCTTGGTGATGCGGAGCGATAGAGGATCACGGTAGTGCCCCGACGTGAGCGGCCAAAATCTCCAATCCTAGCTAACGCACCACGACAGTTTGCAACGGATTTGAGGGGGCTTTCTGTACTGGACTGTGCAAATCACGAGCTTCGAATATCATCTGTTGAGTGTGTTTGACTCCTCTTGAGCCCGCCAGGCCCTTTAACCTGATATGGTCCCTATGTGGATGGGATGTAAATTGATACCGCACTACAGAACCGCCCTCGGCTTAACTTTCCGCCAGCTTTGGCCCTTGGCCCAGAATGTTGGAAAGCCCTAAGCCCTAAACCCTGCGTATCCCCATGTTATTTGTAGGAATCTGTTGAAAGGGACACATGTTGGCGCGAGGCACCTGTCTGGAGAAAGCCATCATGGTTGGCCTTGACTCATTCTTGGAGCGCTCCACGGCATACCTTCACGTGGGATCTTCTCGAGGTTATGGGTCCTGTTTAGAGGGTTCCTATGCAATCATGATTAGGATCTTGTCACGTTGAGGTTTATCCGGGAAGCCCTCGTTCTGGGCAATACCCGTTTCAAGCGCCGACCTTAATCCTAAAGATAGGGATTTTGGCATGCGAGCTCTTAAAGAACCTGCAGGAGAGGATGGAGATTTGGCATAGGTCAGTCTACGGCTTTGGCATCAAAATCCATAGATCCGTTTTGGGGCCAAAAGCCTTCGGTCTTGCATCATGATTCCTGACGGCTGCATGCAAACTCCCAGCAGTCTTTGAAGGCAAGCAAGAAGCAGGAAGGACACCCTATGCTGGAGGTTGCTGGCTGCCTGAATACGGACCAGCGCAGAAACCATCATTAAATCAAATAAACGACGACTACTCACATGGCATCAGCAATAGCATTGCCCACTCGCTGTCTCCTCGGGCCCTTGTCTGCAGTGTTGTTCAAACCATCGAGAATGAGAGAGAAGGTATGCCAACGCCAGGGGATCGTCGTGCATTATGTCTCTGAGCACCCTGGAGCGCACGAAAAACAAGTCTATTCTGCAGTAATCAAGGTAACCCCAAGTTCTCCCATAACAACTTGCCGCGAATGTGCCAAGACGATAGAGAGGTGTCTCAAATCAGGGATGCATGTTGAGAGTCCTGAGATTTGCACATCCTAGTTTTCGGGAATGGAAAAGAAAATGCAAACCACTATTGTGTATTGGGGCAAAGGGGTTTTACATAGGGATAATGGCAAAGAACATGGAAACTACTGTAGTACAAGGGTATCGGGGTTATATTAGGGATGGTATTGCTATCTAGATGCTAGCCTAAACCCTAACCCCTATATCAGGGATGGTATTGCTACAAGAATGCGAACCAGATGTCAGCCAAACCTCTGTCCTAAGGTTCGTGCTTGTATGCGCCGGCAGTCTCGTTGCCGTCAGCAGGCCTCATGACCTGTGCTACATGAGTCATATAGTCTAAACTCCTACTGTCCCCCTTACTAGACCGTATAGTAGTTCCCTATATAACCCCTTTAAGGAGTTTAGATTCTGGCTCACATCTATTCGCAAGGGTTCGGAGGTGGGCTTCATGATCGACCCCTGCCGGAATTCACCCTAATCATGTGGGATCCTCTATAGCATAAGAGCACCAAAACGACCTCAAGCTGAGGTAAAAGGGTTTAGGGTTCAGAGATGGATCCGAGCTTACATTAGCTTCTACGAATCGGATTTCATAGGGGTGTTGCAGGATGGCGCACGGCTTCCCAAGGATCTTCCCTGAAATCTTTCAAGGTTGTGGCTAGGCTCATCATGATCGGAGGCTTCAGGAAGCAAACAAAACCACTGCTTTGGTTTGGAGTATGGAAACTACTATAGTACATTGGGGTAATTATAGGGGTTATATTGGGGTAGTGGAAAAGAAAATGGAAACTACTACAAAGTTCCTGCACTTCATTAGGATCTTGATGAGGATCTAGCGCGGCTTGCATCTACTGAAATCCTACACCTAGCTACACGGCCTTTCCCCCTCTAAATGCAGATGCAGGAACTTTGTAGTAGTTTCAATTTTCTTCTCCACTACCCCTATATAACCCCTATAATTACCCCAATATACTATAGTAGTTTCCATTTTGCTCAACTTGAATCGGATGGCGGGACCCTCTACACACTGCAATGCATGATAAGGCACCGCTTTCTGCCAGCCCCCATTCCCCAAAATGGCTCATAGGCCCCTCCAGAAGCCCCGCCTCTTTTGACCGTAGGGCCAACACATGGGTGGTTGTCAACATTATGATCCCTCTTTGGGTCCCTAGTATAATACGGCACCTAATATTTAGGGTACCCAAAAAGGGACCATAATTTTGACATCCACCCATATGGATGAAGAAGTTTACAACAAGAACAGGCACCAACACGGTCCTGGTGCCACTGGTGTCTGAGGCCAGGACAGTGAGGTCGGGGATCAAACGCCTGGGTGCAAGTATCCCTTTTCTTGGACCCCTGACTGGAAACTGGGTTGCTGTTAAGTAACTTAAATTAAGTTACCATAATGGGTCTATATATTGAAAAAAAAAGGGTTCCCCAACATAGTATCCCAGACACAGGGAGACCTTCCTGCCCCACGACGAAGGACACCACCCTCAACTTTCGGAACAAGTCTGGGGTGGAGTTGCGCTTGGCATTATCATAGTGCCACATACTGATTGTAGGAAGCTTGCGTCTCGCACAGGCCTTTAAGTTCTAAACCGCTACCGCCTCAACCACAAGTAGACCCTGAAGTCAGAAAGGACCTGGTGAGCCAAAATAGAAAACGCAGGACATGCAGCAACAAAACCACGCAGCTCCAACGAAAGTCCTTGCCAAACAAAATACTGACAACACGGTAGCTGGTTGTTTCCAGAAATAGGGGCCCCTAGATAATCTCATTCTCATTAAACCCCTAAACCTTTCCAAGCCCCTGCCCCCCTTGATGCTGAGGCCAGTGCAGGGAGGGAATGGTCTCAATCGGCTGGTGGGTAGGACCGTCCTCGCCTCAGACTTGCTCTTTCATAGCGCACTCTAGAATACAAGGGGTGCCTAGATGGGATTCAGCGGGAACCACCCCAAATCGGCCTGAGATTAAAACAAAAAAAACGTATTTGCGAGTATACAGAAAGACTACTGGAACAGCCAAGGCATTCAGAGCCTTTGAAATCCCCTGGGGGCAATGATGACCTAAATCTCTGCATCTCATAAGACAGAGGATGCAAAGCTGCGAGCTACCGTATCTCATTGCGAGCCCTTGAATGCATACATGCGGATCCATTAATCCTTGGAAACTCCACTCCCCCAGTGTAGGAGCCCGCACCTACCGCAATGGAGTCGTGAGTGGTGACGAAGATGGTGCCCGCCTGCGAAAGCGCCGCGATACCTCAAGGTTGGGTACGCCGTAGCGCGGTTAATAGGGATTTGGTTCGAATGATATGGAGAAAAATCCCATGCAACGTAGCCGTCAGGCTTTGCGTGCAGACAAGGCTCAGGCCAAGTAGGTCTCATTAGTGGGCTGCAAAGACCATGCTCGCAAAAGATGCATGATCTTTGCAGATCAGGAAATGGCAACAAGATGGAGGCTTTGACTCTCCAGACCTTCTGATACGTTACTACAACGCATTACTACACTGCATCCCGATGCTTCAGAGACCTCGTCCAGAGCAAAGCTTACTGTCTCAGTTTCACCCAGTACGCTGCCCATGATGTGACCGGATGCGGATGGCGGAGCGCATGTAGTCGGTGAAGATCGTGAAGGTGGCGCAGTACGGGATGATGCCTGCCAAGGCGGAAAGATTTCTCAACATCGTCCCGAATCGGAGATCCGTGCGATTGCTATTCTGGGACCTTAACGTAAATTTGGGAGACATCCATCTGGGGATCTAGGGAATCTAGGGTGCAGGTAGGGTTTGGCCATTCTGAAAGGTTCCTGCCCGGCGCTTTAGAGGTAAGGATTCTTGCCCCTATAAACCCTACGCTGTTGCCTCCAATTCCAAAAAAACGCACCCGAAGCTTCGCACCATCCCTTAGCTGCAGTTTTGGCACCAGGGTTTATTGGGTTTAGGGTTTAGGGTTGAGGGTAATGGGAAATGTAATGGAAAATCAAATGGAAACTGCTATGTAGTATATTGGGGATAGATTTGGGTAATGGGAAAGATAATGGAAAATCAAATGGAAACTACTATGTAGTATATTGGGGATAGATTTGGGTAATGGGAAATATAATGGAAAATCAAATGCAAACTACTATGTAGTATATTGGGGATAGATTTGGGTAATGGGAAATATAATGGAAAATCAAATGGAAACTACTATATAGTAAACTGAGTCCTGGGATCAGTCGGGGCCCGGTATGGGCAGGCATCTGGGCATCTCCACAGTTAGAGGTACCCCTTGTACTGTAGCCCTCGTTATATGGACCTCCAAAAAGGAACCCATCCTAATGGTTCCAAACCCCATCCAGGGATCATATGCAGTGGACCACGAGCCGGGCCTGTCTTATCCAGGGACAGCGCGTTGCACACGGCACCCATGCCGAACTCGCGGATGCCGAAGCGGAAGTTCCTGCAAACGGGAGTCCCACCACAGTGCCCTGTAAGATTTAGCTCCAGGCTGCTGGTGTAGGTTGGTGCTTCTCGGATCGCGATGAATTTCCATGTATGTCGACTTTTCAGTTTAGGTCGCTCTGTTTCCTGTAGTCGGGTCCAACTCTTCCAAAGCCATTCTCCCTGGCTGCCTTACTAGCTATACATCTGCGACTAGAAAAACAAATTAATCCCCCTGCGAATATGTGTTCAACAATGTGTTCAAGCATGCACGTTCATTGCAGACCGGGCCTATTCTTAGGGGGACCGATGACTGCACGTAGTATCACTAAGTGCACTCGCCAACGAACGTATCAGGCAGAACTACAAGGGTTGGTGGGAGACTGCCCCGGCGAGCTCATGGGAGCTCATCTCCACTTCTGCAGATTCAAAGAAACCTGGGTGCTTCCGAACATCATTCGATTGTTTGAAGCGGTTCCTCCATCAGATTGAGAGCAAACAAACACATCGGACCTCTGCCTTTCCTAGTAACAATTGGCAAATTCAGCAGCATCTGTCTCTTGAAGCTTGAAGAGAACGCCATCCTAGGGGCTGACGACCCAGCCTCTCCGAGTAGCTGTCCTTGAGGAAGTCACCAGTGCACTTCCTCGGCAACTGCATGGAGGGAGGGGGGCTTCTATGGGTTGGGAGTTCTCGGCTGCTTGAAGGAGGACTAAACAAGCTCTCGGAAGTAGACGTAACCTATGCAATCATCAGATAACTATTGCTGCCTTGACACAAGCCGAAGCATAAGTACCCTCAAAGCCAACACGGGCCCATCATACTGTTCCAAAACGGGCATTCTTTATGAAAGCCTGAGAAGAAACCCCACATATTCTGGCAGGGAGTCATCAGGGTCATGTTGGAAGGCGCCAGGTCGGCGGATCCACCCATGAACTCAGGCAGCACTGGCGCAATGGCGTTCAGGCAGTCCTCTAACCACAGCAGTAAGAGGACCACCACGAGAACAACCAAGAACATTCGAAGACAGCTGGCAGAGGCAAGGTCAAGAAGACTCCTATCTAAAAAGTGGCTCCAGATATCACTTCTGAACATCCTCACCCTAAATAGTCGTTTCCATTTTATTTTCCATTATCCCAATCTATCCTCAATATGTCCCCTATAAACCCCCACAAGTGTCTCCATCTTCTTGAGCACCCTAATCCCTAAAACCCTAAGAACCCCAACCCTAAGAACTCCAAACCCTAAGAACCCTAAGAACCCCAAACCCTAAGAACCCTAAAGCCCTAAGAACCCTATAAACCCTAAGAAGCCTAAACTCTAAGAACCCTATAAACCCTAAACCCTATAAACCCTAAACCCCCACTATGCCCCGGTCCTGGGAGTGCAAGCGGGTAGCCTCACAGAGGCGGCTGCAAGTTCCAATGGGCTCATTGTGCTGTGGAAACTATGCCGGGTGCACTGCATGCCAGGCAACCTAGACCCCGTAGGTCGTTCAGTTGGGTATATAGGGGTTCTATAGGGAAGATATAGCGGATCTATTGGGGTTATATTGGGATAATGGAAAATAAAAGGGAACTACTATTTAAAAAAAGGCTTTGAGTACTAGCGATGATGACGCTCAGGAACTCCAAATGCCTCTCAGGTCGAGCTTTCTCAGCCTGCCCTAGGTTGGCGTTCCTTGCTGTGCTGTCAATGAGACTTGAATGGCAGGTAGACTGCGGGCAAGAATCCTGGCAACTTGCTGCCTCCTTTTTTAAGTACTAGTTTCCATTTTATTTTCCGGTATCCCAATGCAAGCCCAATACATCCACTATATATATATATATCCCCTATTCCCCTATATTTCTGACCGCCTTTGAAGCTTCTGTGGCTAGACCGTGTTTGCTCCTAAGCCGGATTGAAGCCTATGCGTGCCCTATGATGCACTTCAGAAATTCACAGAAAAGTCTGTAAGCAGCACAAAGCCTCAAAAACGCATAGTCACTGTCATACATCCAGTAAGCCTACCTAAACCCCAAAAGTATGTAAAGTAATAGCCCTAAGCCCTTAAACATAGCCATAAAGGCCATTATTTTACATACTTTTGGGGTCCACGTGTCATACATCCAGTAACCCTAAACCCTAAACCCTAAATCCCTAAACCAAGGCCTGGTACGGTCCGCATTCCTTGATTGCCCCGCCTTGCCCTTGTCCTCTTCGGTCAGCTTCGGGAGGCATTCGTCCCAGTTGTCCGGCAACTTCCTGTTCAGCACCTGGGAGAGCAAAAATTTAGGGGAATAGAGGATACATAGTGGATATATTGGGGTTAGTTATATTGGGATAATGGAAAAGAAAATGGAAATTACTATACAGGGGAATAGGGGATACATAGTGGACTATACCTGGGTTGTATTGGGGTCATATTGCTCCGATAATGGAGAATCAAATGGAGAAGAACATGGAACATGAAATGGAAAGCGGGATTATATAGGGGTAATATTGGGGTTATATTGGGATTATATTGGGATAATGGAGAATGAAATGGAAACTACTATTTCAAAGGATCTCTGCATTCCTTTTTAGGGCTCAGAAATGACTTGGGAAATGGATTGCAGGTATCTATCTGAGACTACGCTAGGCAGCATTGTGAATTGTGGCAGTCCTTCTGAGGCTTCAGCTCCCACTTGTCTACAGACCACCTTATGAAAAGCCACTGGAAATTCTTGATGGCTTGGCAGCCTCATTCTGCTTTCCCGCTGCCAGACTCCAGTAGCAGACCCATAGAACCCCATGCGACCATCTGCTGAATGTAAAAATCTGCGCATTCCAAACTCAGCTTTTGCTGGCCAAGCGCAGCCCGCTCAAACTGCGCTGCAAGCTCTGGCTCCTTCTCCTGCCATCCCTTCCCCATGATAGAGGCTCTCAGCAATATGCTGAATGCTCTTCGCAAGTTGCATGTTGCACTTTCTAGTAATGATCTGTATCAATCAAATAGGGAATGTAAAGACTAAAAGCTGGCTTCAAATCCAGGATTCAGGAACGACCACTTGCAGAATAGGTAGTCTAGACAGCCTAGAGTCTGAGGATCCGGGCTGTTTGGTTGTGCAAGGTGGGTCGGTGGGTAGCTGAATACTTACACTCACAATCAAGATGCTTGGGACCGCCGTGCTACCGCCGAGCCTCCCAAGTGGTCCCTCTGCTACCAATCATAAGGTTCTTCTTGCGCTGTTTGCTAGCATACCATGGATTCGAGCCGCTTCGCAAAGTTCACCAGAAGCGCTAAACTTTCAGCGCCAATGCCTGCACCCGGCCACACATGCGGCATATGCGGCATATGGATCCAAAACTCTTAGCCCAACCCTCCCTACAAATTTCCAAAAAAAAACAATGACCCTTAGAGTACTGGTGTAAAAGCCCTGCAAGGTTCCTTGTAGGCGGCAAAGAGCTTGTCCCATGCGGCCTGCCTTGGCGCGGGCAAAAAAAAGCTAAAATCACAACAATGAAGTCACTTGCTCAATCATGAGCTGATAGCCACTCGCAATCAAGCTGCAGTGCTCCAATGTGCAGAAGTCCAGAAACCCTCAATCCCAAAGCTCTACACTCCTCTACCTCTTCCTGTGATAGCCTGTGACATTAGATGACCATCCTTCAGCCCCACCGAACCCTCAATGCACCACACAAAGCGTAGCTTGAGAGCTAGAAAGAACACGCACAATCATACCGCAATGCCTAGGTTGAACTGCTCATGTTCCAGAGCCACCACCACCCGCCACACCCCCCCCAAAAAAGGAGAAACACATTTATTTGTAGCAATTCTAGTGCTGGTTGCGCCAACCCATGGCAACCCAAAAGGCCCCAAAGCCAGCTCTCGACTTCGATTTGGCAGTTCCAGAGTATGCGCCTCTTAAGGACACAGGGGTTCATATGGGCTTTCAGGAGATATGGGGTGATCCTTGTTGAGGATCATATGGAGCTCACCTTTGCAATGTCAATTCGGTTCTCTAGGCCGTCTTGAGATTTATTAAGACATTCCTTAGGCGGACCCCCCACCCTGTAATAGTGGCGTGGTCGGAATATAAGAGGTCCCTCATATAATCACCATTATCCATTATAGTTACTATTACTGGCTGAGGGCCACTTAAAACTATACTACTATACTACTGTACTACTATACTGCTTGCTAACTACTATACTACTACATAACCCACATTCTTATATTACTACTGTACTACATTATGACCACAGAGTTTATACTATTATATCACTACTATGTTTTTAAGTGCGCATGCCACTAGAAGCGGTGCTAAGCTGCTTCTCGGCGCCAGCATCGGCCTGCTTCTTGAAGGCTGCGTAGACATGGTCGGGGACCTGTCATCACGGGAATTGGAGGGGGTGCTTCCCAAAATTGGGGGTACCATTTTGGGGATCCCCAACATAGGAATTAAAATATATTGGGGAATTCTGTTGGGTAGGCCCCCACCCTATAACAGTCTATATGAGGGATCATATGTTCCTAAGGTAGACACAAGGCCCATCAGAAGAGATTTGTCATTGCAGGAATTGAAACCAGAGCACCCACGCAAGAAAGATGCAAGCATCTTTTTCGTGTGAGGGTGAGCTTCTGCGGTTACCAGGATGAGCTGCATGCACCCTACTCAACAGTAGTTTCCATTTGATTTTCCATTATACTGTATCTGCCATTACCCAATATATCCCCAATATATTTTATAGTAGTTTCCACTTTGTTTTCCATCATCCCAATCTAACCCCAACGTAACCCGAATATTACCCCAAATGGGAGCCAAAACGGTGCTGGGCATGCTCCAGGTTTTGGGCCTAAAACTGAGGGCGTACCGGTAGACCAAGGGTCATAGCTTACTTAAACAACCCCCCTCAGCCTTTTGCTCTGGAAGTAGCTATAGTCAGTCACCACATAATATATTGGGGGTATATTGGGGTAATGGGAGATATAATGGAAAGTAAAATGGAAACTACTATATAGTATATTGGGGATATATTGGGGTAATGGGAAATGCAAGCTCGATCCTCACCTCGGCTTTTTTGTTGCCAACTCTAAGCTTGTGAGTCGAGGGTGCCCATGGAGTTTACAGGTTGAGTAGATAGCAAGCATTTCTGGACTTCGAAGCACTAAGACTTGAGTAGGGCCATTCTACTGCCACTTGGTCTACAACTGAGATGCTACTGGTGTGCCGTCAAAATGTGTAGAGATCCGGGCAGGGCATTCTCAGGAAGAAGGACCGTCACTTCTTACACAGATCCCCTGCAACCCTTGTTCTTATGGAAGGCCCAGGTATACTTAGGTCTTGAGACGCAGATATGGTAGTTTCCCAAAATAAGGGGACCCCAATATAGACCCCAATATACTATAATCCTTATTATGGGAACCCCCAAAGAAGGTACCCCTAATTTGGGGAAACCCCCATATCTTCTCCAAATATCAGCTTTATGCAAATAAAAGAGGTCCTCGCCTCGAACTCGCCGTAGTTCCAACCCAGCTGCCTAGGTGGAGGAAAAAGCGTTTGCCATGCTTGACAAACCCAAGCAAGTTACAGCTGAGGGAGATACAGGGTACAAATCTAGCGGAACCCTACCTCTCCAACGGGAGGGTGACATGTCTAAAATCCCTGCTTGAACATGCGAAGCTTTCAGGGCCTGGCTTGAATCTTATTAATGTTCCACCCGGCACTTTGAGCTGCATCGTTTCCTTGCTGTGTTTCCGACCATCTCCCACGGGTGATTGCCGAGGCGACAACGCTTGATAGCTTACGGCAAGCAATTGCCCAGCTGTTAATAAACAAGCAATGAAGGCAAAAAAACATGCCTCAAGGCTTACAAACTAGGTGGACCCCCCACCCGGTAATGGTGGCATATTCGGGATATAAGAGGACCTTATACAATCACCAGTATCCGCTGAAGTCACTTTAACTGGGTGCACCTCAAGTATAAGGATCAGATGCCCAGTTGTCGGACAAGCTGCGGACATCAAATTTCACAACCACCTCTGAATCTCTGTGCTCCCCGTGTAACTCTTCCAGTGGAACCTGAAATTTTCGCATAGTACCGCAGGAGCCCTGCCTGATCTGTGGATAACACTCTGAAGCAGGAAAATTCGGAGGGCATGGAAGCAGGCAGAAGAATGGAGAACGCATGCAGCTGAAGTGCAGCTGTACAAACGCCAAAAAGAACTGCAGGATTTTTTAGGATACCGTGTATAATGGCATGCGGCACGCTGTTTGCAGCCCCTCCAATGCCCTGCATAACCGTAACAGGTGCACGCGAAAGCTACTAGCAACTGCACGTTGAGCCTTCATTCTGCTGCTCTGAGCATACGTGACTTTGCGTATGTGCCAAAGTTATGATGTGTTGTTGCTGCTGCGACATTGAGGATCCCACTACTTTGGGCGACTTTACCTAGGGAAATGGATAGAGCTCCTAAGCTGGGCACATACTCATATTCTCAAACGCTTACATAAAAGTTTCTGAAAAGTAGGTTCCACATATTCCTCAGAATGAAAGGGGTCCCTGTTCCAGGAAAAGCCTCCAAGAAGGGACGCCGAATTTTGAGAAACCCTATATCCCAACAAATAATGAACAAGCATATCTGCTGCCCTCAGCAACCTTAGCTACTAAAATCCTAGATAACTGTAATCATGCAATCCCCTTGTCGCTGCAGCTAAGTTACTTCCTGGTGGCCTCAGCCTCATCGGCGCCCAATGGCGCACCGTGTGCGTCGTGGCTGTCGGCCTGCTCATCATGATGTCGGGGAACGCACGTTTGAGGATTTGCGTGAATTTTCTGACGTCAAAACACATTAGGGTTTAGGATTTAGGGGTTTGGCTACACGGGATTGAGGGTTCCTACCTTTGGATTCAGTGAGCCTGTTGTGAGTCTGCATGAACAAAGTCCATCGGCCTGTCTGTACTTTGACCTCTGCTGCTGCTTGGCTCGTGGCCGTACTTGTGGGTGCTGACACAATCAGGGATTTCCAGCTTATCATTTCGAGCTCTTGATTTAGAGATTGTTCAGGGTCAGGACTTGCACTCCCTTGTCATTACGTACTGGGATGGACCGCGAATTAACTAGTGAAGTAGTCTGACTTGTGGTAGTGAGTTGCAATGGATCAGAAGGTTCTTGCGGTACTCATTCATGATGCTCAGACTCGCATGTTAACATGGAATCTGAGCCATGTACTCAGGTACCCTGATGGCCTTCAGGCTAGGGCCTAAGGACATGTGGATGGATACGAACAGATAATGGGGGGTGCCTATCTGGGTTTAGGGTCCGGGGTATGTACGGATGGCTTTGAGAAATGTGGCTCTGCGTCTGGCTGAGGGATCTGTTAGAAGGTTGCCCGATAGAAGAGCTCGGACATAGGAGCTGAGGGATCTATAGCAACCCACCGGTGATGGGATTTCACCAAATTAGGGGTATCCATTTGGGGGTCCTCATAATAAGGATTATAATTATAATCTTTTCAGCTCTTTAGTGGGTTATTTGTGGACACTACCTGAAAGACCCTGAAGCCCGAATCTGGAAACTTTAATTTTTAGCCACAACATCCGAACGAAAGGCTCAAACCAAATGCCAGAAAACAAAACACTAAACCCTGAACCCTATTAACCATGTATCCCGATACACCCTAAACCGTGAACCCGTAGCAAGTCCAAAAGGCGTTGAAAGATGGCAGTTTCCCTATACAGTGGATCCCAATGTAGACCCCCAAACACTACAATGCTTACTATGGGGACCCCAAAAAGGAACCCCTCATGCTACGAACCCCCCAGAGGCCTTGTTTGGGGAGCCGAAGCCAATGGTGGTCTTCACCTGCGGTCAGGCTCAGCAGTGGCTCTTTAATTTTAGGGTGATATTAGGGTAATATTGGGGCTATTTTAGGGTACGATTAAGGATAATCTCCATAAAGAGGCAGACCCCAATGTAGACCCCAAAATACTAGAATCCTTCTTCTAGTGAACCCCCAAGAAGGTACCTGTCATCTGGGAAACCCCATTTAGCGCTTTACAGTTGTGTGCTGTAGGGATGAAGTGCTTAGGGACTGATCATGGTCGAAGCCTCTGGAACTTCAGGATTCTCTTCTCGTCTTGTAAACGGTAACCCATACACATCTGCAGCAATCGCTACAACCGCCACGCCGTCGAGTTCCTCCAGAACTATGTCAACAATGTGCGTTGAGAAGGCCTTTTGCATCAACCGGCAGTCAGGGTCTACTAGAGGGCAGCTTTGGTGCAAAAGTAAGGTCAGCTAACCAGCATGATGAGGGCGAGATATGTAGACATGCTTAGACTCCGGACTCTAGACGTTGTTCCGGCATAGCTCTGCAAGACATCGTAAACTGGAATCAAGGCGCAAGTGGATGACCCTCATCCGCAATGCGTCTGATGTATTGCTGCTTCCTGTCCCACCCGTCGGCACCGAAATTGTCAAGAGCTCTTTCGCCTACACCCTGAACCCTAGAATACTTAGCCTACATTATCCTAGGAGGAAAACAGGATTCTTTTTACATAAATAGAAGGACTCCCGCACCCCAACAAGTATAAAGGATCCCTAACATTAATGCAGTAGACCTGAACCCCAAGGCAGTTTTTGGACTTTCAACCAACAGCTTCTCAGCGCAAGGCCAAGCCTCTGCAGGGTCGCGTCTTAGGAGAGGAACCCAAAGACGTGGATACGTACTATGTGATTTGAGAAATTCCCAATATGATGGGCATTTCCTGTAAGCAGACCATGAAAGATGCTCTGTTCTACTTATGAAGCGCCACAAATCACAGAAAAGAACAAACTCATCTTCGGTTAGAATACTACGACTGCTTAAGAACTCTCCATGCGAGCCTTGATGAGCGTGGGCTTGTCCTAAGCCATGAACCCCATTGCCCAGGGGATACACTATGGGTGAATTGATCAGCTTAGGGTCCTGTTTCGATCATTTGGGCTAGATTCCAGAGATGCAAACCCATTACACAAATGCCCACCAATGCAAATCACAAAAGTAGCATCCCCAAATACACTTCTGCGAGACTACAGTTCCTTCATGTAAGCATCCTAGAGTAAGTGAACCAACATTTTGAAGCATCAGCTGCGCGCTGGTTTGGACAGGGTTTAGGAGCAACATGCCTTTTCAAAGGGGACCTTAAGAAGTACTGAGATCCGCGGCTGTGAGCAGCTTGACGTGGTTTTGCAGCCAAGCCAAGTAAGGAAAGAGAGGCTTCCTCAATGGCTCCTTTACAGCTAGCGCCGCAGCTCTTTCTACAAGTATTGCTATTCGGTTACAACATCGTTACAACTAGGACATACCCCACTTCCATGTCTACGGGTATGGCAAATGCTACTTGCAGCACACCAACTACTCTTATTCTTTTGCCTTCTCCAACATCAACAACCACAGCCACTTCCATTCACGGAGGAAATCCTGTACGGCCCCAAGTCCCCGGATTCAAGAAGCACAGTTTATCAGATACACGCTAGGTGTCCTCCTTTACCAAATACCCGTAGTGCTACTGCTGCTATTCTCACTTGACGATTAGTAGCCTTCCATTGCTATAACAACAACTGTAACTTCATCATCGTCGTATCATCACCACTACAATCTTCAGGGTAATCCAACCATCCATGCATTCCTCCCTCCCTCTCCCTCCCTCCTTATTATCATCATCGTCTTCATGATCATCATCTACACTCAACATCTTCAGAGCCATCAGCGCCACCATTTCTAGTCCAATTTCCGCCTGCCGCTGCGTGTGTGCCGCCAAGATGCAGTGCACGCCTTAGCCTCAGCGATGGCCTTGCGGATGGCATCCACATCCTGGTCGGTCGCCAGTTTACACTAGCAGCAGCAGTAGTAATCATAATCTTCATAGCAGGCATAGAAGTAAGTGGAATGAGAACATCATAGCCATTAAGACAAGTATACGATTGGCGGTTTAGTGGAGCCTGCAGGACCTCTAGACTATCAAGATAATACTTCGTCGGGCTCAAGAAAAAGCACGTGAATTTGGCAAGTGGTCTTCGACTCTGCGATTGAGGGGCCGGGTCTTTAGCATGAACTAGGGAAACATCGTCTTCTTCCTGAACTGCAAGTTTGTGAAGGATACTACTGTAAGAGGGTATAGTATTCGGGATAATTACTAAGGGCACCCCTGTGCCGATGAAACCTTCAGGCCAATAGGGAGTAAATCTGGACTCCCTGAAGCAAGTCCTTGTCTCCATTGTCCACAACCAGCACCTGCCAACCATAGGCCTTTGCAGTGGGCTTGCGGTTCGTTACCTTTGGGTTTAGGGTTTAAGGTTTAGGGTTTAGGGCTTGCATAGGGCTTATACAAGGCGGCTACGAGAAAGGTTTCAGCTCAGACATGTAGATGACACCCATCAATCATGATTCGTCATAGAAGCTTGTAGAGTGACCTCCATGACCTCTGTTGGTACCCATACAAGCCATAGTCTGCACTCCTGGTATCCCCCTTAACAACCCCAAGACATAATCCTCTAAAAAATCCACTTTGTAACCCCCTTTCAGGAGTATTCACTCTAGCTCATATAACTGTATCTGTACCTGTCCTTTTACACATCCATGTAAGACTGACGGTTTAGAATGCTGGTGTTCGGGGTATATGAAGTTACCATAATTCAGTGATATAGTAAATAGTAGGATTTCCTCATGAACAGCAAAGCAGTGTCAAGTACACGGTTTCCTTCGATCAGGATATACATGTTCTAAAGTTACGGGATACGTATGTCTGTAAGGCTTTGCTTTGTGGCAGTACCTCTGAAAGCTGAAGCCTTGTATAGCTAAGCGCACCTTCCAGTAGGTCGCTCCTTTAAGGCCTACTGGGTGGAGGATCTTGGATGCAGGCGTTGGCATTTCGATTCTAGAACATATCCTAGATAGTCCTGAAGGTGGGCCCTAAGCCTCAGAATTCTCGTCATCCCTTGATCCCGAGGAACCCCCATTCTCTACTTGCCGAGGTGACCATTACCCAAGTAGTTGGCCTCATGCATAGAAGACCTTTCCGCAAAGCTTGAGGCTTGAGAGTTCATAATTTGGTAAGTTTCCTAAGTGCGGGGACCCCAAGTTTAGACCCCAAAATACTATAATCCTTACTATTGGGACACCCCCCCTCCAAAAGGCTACCCATGATGTTGGGAAACCCTAACCCCCATAATCCACTATTAATCCTGGTTTCCGTTTTCTTGTCCATTTTGTTGTAGATTTGATTTCCCATTGTTTGGGATCCCTACACCCTAAACCCTAATCCCTCAAGAGCCTCAAAGCGCTTGCCGACGTCCTGCGCGCCCATCACCACGAAACCCAAAGTTGGGGGTAATCATTCGGGGGTCCCAATAACAGGGACTGTAGTACTCTGGGGTGTCCCCCTACTCAGGAAACTATCATGTGGTAAAAGCTCACGGTCCATTACGAGATTACAGTGGGTCTAGGACAGCTCAAGGAAAGCTGAGGTGAGACAAGTTATGCAATTGTTCATGAGACAGCACTCAATGGAACACCTCTGTTGCTATGGCAGCTGTTTAGAAAAGGCTTCGTCCAGCGCATTTGATCTCTTACAGGGGGGGAGTTTTGCGCGGAAAGCTGGGGATTTCTGAAAAAGCGTCGGCCTGTGCATTGTCATGGTAAGGACCCTAAGCCCTAAAACCTAGACCCCTAGTCGTTAGTTGGGTACCAGGGTGATTCTATACGATAGGGACTTGGAGGTCAGGTTCCGGGCTTGAGGCCGGCATACTAATAATAGTAATAATAGTAATGATAATACTAATGGGTTCGGGCTCTGTGGCTTATAAAAGGTTACGGTCGGAAAGTATTGGGAAGAAGCGGGAGCGAAGTGGGGATTCGTAATTTCATTGCGGAAGACCGGATGCAAGGGTTGAGGTGTTCAAGCATGAGTTCAGGAGATGAGATCTGATCTTGGGGACTTCAAGCCTCGGAGCATGTAGGTTTCAGCTTAGGAGTCATCATTGAGTGGTTGCAGGACCTCTGGTGGTGCTCAACTTACAGATACCGCCTTCAATCGAGAGGCCTAAAAACTCACTGAGTTGTGGTGGCTTTATAATGGTTTGCAATAGTCGGAATTTCCGGCAACATTACGCAACTACAATTTGGCTCTATGTCGCCCCCACACCCGCAAGTTGGCCATGACTTCAAATTTGCTGGCTCGGCTTCCACGACGATTCCGTTTTGGGCTCTACTCGAGATTGGCTCCAGCAAACGTGCAGACTGCACCACCAAATCCTCCATCGTGCATCCTCCTGCTTAGAGCCCAAAAGGGAATTTTCGTTGCAAATTATGGGTCCAGCACAATTGGGGTCCTAAAGAGGGAGGATCCTGACAAATCATAGAGCAACTTGACAAATATCCGACAAAAGGGCCAAACGCGCTCCTCGGTGAAGGAGAGGTCGGTGTGGCCATCAATGGTGATGCCGTTGTCATCCTTGTGCCATTAAAATGCATTGTCGTGAGCCACTTGAATTATCAACAGACTTTGGTCCCTTCTTGGAAGCCCAAGTCACCACTTGGGGCATTTAGAACGTGCAGTTTGATGGGCGCGCAAATGTCTGATTCAAAGCCATTTCGCCCCACACATGACCTGGTAAAGCTTCGCACAACACACAAAGTTGTGTTTTTTTAACTGGCCATATCCCCTGCAGATCAAAGGCATCCCCAGGTGGGCAACAAGATGCAGCAAAATAGAGCGCATACTTGAAGGCATACTCAACCGGTGGCAACCATGCTGGTAAAAGGTTCGGTTTGTACCGCAGCTGCTCCTGTGGAGGATTTATTCGGCTTCTTGCCGAGTTTGGGATGTGGGCCCTAGGCATGTTCTTCTTTTGGGAGCGTTTGTGGTTCAGCTTGTAACAGCAGCTGTGACTAAGGGTAATGGCAAGAAGGAGGATAAGACGACAAGAGTCGTGTTGATACCAAGGACAACAATTCTAAAGAATCATTACTTGCAGGAATGCTGCGAAATTTGTGGTCAGGAATCTTCAAAAAGTATGCTTCTGGCTGTCTGAAGTAGATCCAGGACGCATAGAATGCGATCAGCTTCCCGAGACCCAGGTGGCCAGCATAGGCGCAGGCTTCGTGGGAGATACCCTCCTGTGCATTTTGAGGCGCAGGGCTTAGGGTTCGAGAGTAAAGGTTCAAAGCTACAAACCTCGGGCTTTAGTTGGAATTCCAACCTTCAACTTCATGAATTTTGGGGTTTGGCGGGGCTTGAGATGCTCGAATCGAGCTATGCAAATAGAAAAGGTGCTGGAAGTTCTGCGTCACAACAAGCCGTCAGAAAGACAGAAAGATAAGAATGCCGAGGGCAAACGCCCCCTGACTCAAGCTCGCAAGCACTATGCTCGCTGTGAAGATATCCCAATACAATCCCAATATTGTGCATTCTCATTGGCTGATGAGTCGGCCGTACTGTGAGGTCTGCGGAACTAGAGCTGCCATCCCTGTCCCTAGGGATCCATGCAAGGTTTAGGGTTTAGTGTTTAGGGCCTCAGGGTTTAGGGTATGTAGGGGTTATATAGGGATCCATGTCTACAAAGAGTACCTACATTAGGCCCTAAAGTCAACACATAGTATAATATTACCGACATTGGGCTATTTGGATCCCTGGGGTGTGTCCGCTTCAAAAACATCGGCTTTGACGGGGCACGGGGTACCACTGTGGTTCTGTTTAAGCTGAATTTCACATGATTGCTTGTACAGGGAATCCTCACAATTTGGTTATAATGTAGTAGTTTCCATTTTCTTTTCCATTATCCCAATAGAACCCCAATGTATACTCTATTATAATGTACTAGTTTCCATTTTCTTTTCCATTATCCCTTTATTATCGGGATAATGGAAAAGAAAATGGAAACTACTGTAGTATAACCCTAAACCCCTAAACCCAAAACCCTTATAAACCCCTAAACCCTAAACCCCTAAACCCCCATAACCCCTAAACCCCCCAAACCCCTAAACCCCCTAATATTGGGAAATTTGCTGCTGGGCCTGCATGCAGCCATCGCCTGCAATGGTGTAGGTGTAGTGGTCAATCAGAGTAAAGTCCGGCCTGGGCTCCATTAGCTTCCATTTTCTTCTCCATTATCCCTATATAACCCCAATACACTATAGTAGTTAGAGAGTCAAGGAGCTTCAGGGTGTAGGATTTGCATTCTTGCTCAGGTTTTCTTTGAGCATCTTATAGTGGGAGTCGCCCGTCTTGAGGCTCCAGTCGGGACGTGAGGGTTTAGCGCGCTGTTTTTGCTGGGATCAAACCTACTTAGTTGAGTTGTCTATGTTTGAAACGCCAAAAAATTATCTTGCAAATGTCCATGACACCAATTGGCTACAAGGTGTGAACTATGATGAAGAAGCATACGTTGCAGAAGCCACGCGGCTTATTGTAGGCGGCCGCCAAGTGAGCCTCTGCCGCCGCCAGACCCACTGCGTTGGAGATGCCCATGCCTTGCGTGTCAAAAGGGGAAGTACGATTCACCAAGGACTATACTACTATGCAGACATCATTCGGCGCTGTTCACAGTGGCATGTGGGCTACTGTTAGGACGCTGTATGAGTTCCATCAAGGTCGTGTAAATGTCACTGAGGTTCTCAAAGAAACCCTCTAGAATAGAACCACTGCCACGCGCTGCTTCCGACTCCGATCAGCAAAGCTACCAAGAGGGCCAGTGGTGACCTCGATGCCATCGGTTTCCTGAGAGTGGGCAGAAGTCTTGGACAAACTTGATGCTGGAGGCATCTAACCCCTGATTGCTGCAATCTTAACTACACACTCCACATCCACATGCGCAGCTTCATTCACTGCATATCCCATCATTTCATGCCACCGCTTGGTTCTCTCAGAAACCACGGCTCTCCACAGCTCTAAGATTCTTGCTGCTTTATCTTCCGGCATAACCCAAGCACTTTTGCCCGCAAGGGGCGTGGAAAAGGTACAACCTAAAACTTATGATTCCACACACAATACAACGAATCGCGCTCGTACGCTTGCCAGGCATCGAAATTCTCGGGGTGGCCCGGGGTCTTAGAGCCCCACTGCCTGTCGCGGGGGGATCTCACGGACTTGATACATCGTGGCACATGTTAAGCTGGGCTGATTAGCGGAACGTACTGTACCTGGGGCCGCATGCGGATATTCTAATCTTCGGGGTCCGGGGTAAGAGAAGGACATGGACATGAAGCTTCGGCCATTCGTGCCCACAAAGGCAAAGCAAAGGTCCTAACATAACAGTGGAAGAGGGAATCTCCGACGGTATCTTTCTGTTTATCTACGAAGGCACCAGAGCCGGAGGCTCGTCGAACAGCGAGAATAAGATGTAGGCTATAATCTAAACTCCTAGCATCCCCCTCAGCAACCCCTATAGCAGTCCCCTATACAACCCCCTTGAAGGAGTCTAGACTATAGCTCATATAAGCTCACAAGTTACAAGTCCACAGTTTGCCCACGGCAGTCATGAGAAGGCGGGCGCTGCCAACGTCCTCCGAAAAGATGTCCACGTCAATCCGTTGGGCACTTATGATAAGTAACTTGTGGGCGTGCAGAGCCAAGTATTGAGCATCTAGAACCAACACTTGTTCGGCCATGGTTTGCACACTGGGAACTAGTCTCCACAACTGGTGTGGGCCTTTGCGGCTCATGCCTGCTCGCCAACAAACAAGTTGTGTTGCTTTTTTTGGGGGTGCAGCATGTTGCGGGCAAATCATATCTGTATACGTCTCTCTGCAAGATGCCCCCTGGTGTAGGGTGAAGGTTGTTGAACCTACAGGACCTCTGACAGGCAGTTGAAGGCAGCCACCGAACCCCCTCCCCGCCCTCGGGTGTTGCGAACTTATACCAACACCCCGAGGGGTTTTACAACCCCCTCCAAAGTAGGGCTCGGGGGTAAACCTGACGGAGGAAGCCTTTAACATCTGCAAAGCCAATCTTCGGCTGCATTGGAACAAAAGAATGGTTCAAGTAATTCTGACATCGCCGTAGTTCTGCTCACGGCAGTCACACTCAATCGCGCTCAACCTTTCCTCTGCCTTGAAGTTGTTAATGACTTCTGCACGTGAAACGCCCACCGCCCCCCACCTCTAAATATCAGAAAGCTCCACGTGCTGCCAGCACACGAAAGTCAAATTAAATTCCACCAGCCATACAGCGGCACATTCTCCTCTCACCACCCTGACCGTCCCAAAGCTGATCACAAGTCCTACGTGCATGCCTGCCCAAGCATGGGAGCCCCCCTTGCAGTGACCCCGAAATCGGACGCATGATCCTGAAACCATGGGCATCGCCAGAGTGTGCTCTTGTCATCTTTGAGGTGCTAAACATATGACATGTGTCCTCCTATGGATAGCGCCAAGAAGGAACTGTTACATGGTTGTTTTTTTTGTGATTCGGATGCTGGTTCGCATATGTTCTTGCGTAACAGCTGTTTATGCTATCTACCTACTACAGATGACACCCAATCTGTGCAGTAAGAGTGAAGTGGAAGTTCTCGTTTTTGAGTAGTGTGCTGGTTGTTGGCCTATGCCGTGTACAGTGATGGCCTTCAGATAGCTGGACTCTAAAACCCATCCCTCATCGCGCCTGGCCGCAGGTTCCTTGATGGAGAGGTCCCTCTACAAAGGATATTCTACCCCATCATGTCCATTGTTCAGTTTAAACAGCACCTAGCATCTGGAGTACAAGCGTTCCCATTCCATGTTCCTTTCCATTCTAGTCTCGGCTATTAGACTCTGAGCCTTTAATATCCCTGTACAACCCTATGGCCCGCAACTATCCTACAGTACCGCACAACAACAACCATAGTCAGGCGCCTGAACTGCTTCAAGTCATCCATGGCAACACTGTCGTAGCCGGCCAAGTGCAGCAGGGAGTACCTTGTGCAGGGCCAATGCACTGCAAATCTCAACTTCCTATACCTAGAAGTTTCCTTTTAAAAAGGCTTGGGGTTAAGGGTTTAGGGTTTGGGTTTAGGGAATAGGGTTTGGGTTTAGGGAATAGGGTGAGGATTGCAGTATTTTGGGGTCTATATCGTAACCCCCACCTATTACCCAAGAAAAGCCCAAAGCGCCCAGTTGCCAACTGCACACGCCATGCTATGTCAGCTTCTCCTCCCACCCATTCATAGTGGTATAGGATATATACGGACCCCAATAATAGACACACTCTGGAATAACATGTGGTCATTTTTAGTGGGTGCGAGAAATGCCAACGGATATCCCTCAAGCCTTACATAGGCCTCAGGCAGCAAACCTTTCTGCAAACAAGGAATAGTGTTCAAAAGCGTGCTTTCAGTCGCCAGCTTTAGCTTGGCACGGTACAGCAACAATTCCAGCGTACTAGGAGCAAGACCGCACATGTGAAATTATCTTTTTTGCGCTGCAAAAGCTGCGAAGCTCCAGGTTAGATGTTTTGACTGGTGCACCGCGCTCCCTCAAAGCTGTTGGTAATCTCCTGACACGAAGGAAATAAAGGGACCTTACTGGGAACCCCAAATAGGGAACCCCAAGAATATAGCAGGAATATAATAGGAATGTACCTACCAGGGTCCTTGTATTCCATTATATTCCAGTAAGGTCCCTTTAGGAAACTTGTAATTTCCGAGCCCAGTCGCTGCAGCATGCATCCATGGCCGGAAGACAGCACGAAGCGGTCGCGATTGCACCAGGTGGAGTCCTCAGATTTTGCGGGGACTGGCTTAGGCTCCTTGGGTTGAGGCTTTGGGAGCTTTGCCTGCCTAGGTTAAAGCTTCGGGTGCAAATGCTGACGTCCTGAGATGTTCTTCCTGCAGGCCGTGGGCCCTGCACTGAACAACAAACAACAACAAACAGCTTCCAGCAGCCAAAGACGTAGATCTGAGAAACTCTCAACCCTTACCATAGAAGTTTCAAATGATTATTTCGTGACGGGCGACATAACCGAGTATATCTTACTGCACGTTTTCAGTGGTGGAGCTCTGTGACAGAAAGAGCTTCCACCCTTGGCTAAAGGTCGCCGATTTTTCAGAGGCATCTCGGATACAGACCTGAGGCATATTCAACCTGCTCTCCAAGGCTTAGGACCCCCCCGAAAGTCTAGAACCGGTAACACGCTGAAGCCCTCTGCCACGCACACCCTGGAACCATGTTAGTCCCTAGAATCCTTCAACCCCTGAACACCCCGGAGCCCTGAAATCCCTGAATCTCTAGCGCCCAAAGCCCTAAAGCCCAAAGCCCTAAAGCCCAAAATTCTGGTACCCAAACCTCAAATTGTAAGCCATCCATGAAACTGTAGGCCATCTCCCCAGACACAGACACTAGCAACGACCACAGGGCAGAATAACGTAATTACCTCAGGTCCCTCTCTATTTGTTATTCCATGAAACCTGCCCAAAAAAGGGGCACCGTTTGGAGAGCCCCCTCCCTCAGCTCCAATCATAACTCCTATCTAATTACCACCCAGGATTCCGCTTTTCTTTCCACTAAGCACGCAGTGGCATGATTTTCAGAAGCCTGGACCGTATGTTCCTAAGCTCTGAGCTACGCACGTGGAAGAATTGAAGATATACATCAAGTCTTCGTTTCACAACGCGGCCCGTTCTGAACCCACTTCACCCAAGCCGCATGCGCTTCCTTTCTCATCTTATTCAAGCCCTGCAATGTGCGTATTTCTTGTACACACGCATAGTGTACTGTCCATGTAGAATCCGTGTATAATACATTCCCATAGGCCGTAGGCCCCACCGACCCCGGGTAAGTATAATGCCCCCTTACAAACACTAACATACGAATTACTATAGTCGCTTCCATGTTCTTTTCCATTATTCGCTGACCCCTAAACCTTACATTATCTTCCCCTAATCCCCACGAACCCCCCCAAGTAAGGTAGCGGGTCCTTGGGGTTGTAAGCCATAAACCCCTATAATCCCTACATAATTCTATTATTCCCTATAGCTATCGTAGCTTCCGTTTTCTTTTCCGTTATTCCCCTATCCCTAAACCCTAAAGGTCCTTGGGGTTGTAAGCCATCTCCTCAGCGAAGAGCAGGTAGCCAATGGGCGCCTGGCCCATGGGCGCTCCTGGGTGCCCAGAGTTGGCCTTGCAGCAGCTTGGGAAAAAGGGTTTAGGGGGTTCAGGGTTTAGGGTGTTTAGGGCTTAGGGGGGTTAGGGTTTAAGGGTTTTAGGGTTCAGGGTCGTTAGGGTGTAGGGTTTATAAGGTTTGGGGGTTGGGAGGGGGGACGTGTAGACACTGCATGGGGGTATAGGGAGGGTTCTACAAGGATATGTAGACCTGTGCATTTAGGATGTATAGGCTTAGTCAACACTATGCAATTCCATTCTAGCGGGTTGGAAGGGTTGCTGACTCACCTACAATCAAGAGCCAGGGTGATGAATGAAGATGTCAGGGCGGAGGTGGCGGCGGCGGTGGTAGCGGTGATTGGCGCTGGCACCGGCGGTGGTGGTTGCAGCAGCAGCGCGAGTTGCAGTTGTAGCTGCAGCAGTCGTCATCGTCCCCGTTGTCGTCCGCATTAGCGTCCTCCTCGTCCTGGTCCTCGTCCTCCTCTTTGTCGTCCTTCTCCTGCTCGCAGTCCCGGTGGTGGTTGCCATGGCGGTGGCGGTGGCGGTGGCTTCAGCAGCAGCAGTCACTGCTGTTGTCACAGTGGCTGTGGTCACAGTAGTGGCTGTGGTTGCTCTCGGCTTGCACCAGCCCTCCCCAGAATTGACATGACCACCCATGTAACATACTAGAAGGGCATGCAACACAAATTTCTACGATTTGGAAATGTCGAGCTTTGACACCTAGCTATCCACTGTTCACTACCAATTTGGGTGGCCCAATCGAAGCCCTGCACCGTTCCCATCCCAGGCAGCCCCAATAAACCACCTCCAAGAAGCGCTTTGCAACACCACAAGATCGAGATCACTCAAAAAGAATGTCTCAGAAGAACAGGTTTTAGCAGTTCTTGCCTTGTTCACTGCATCAACGGCCAAGAACCGGATGGAGTTGATGCAGTCGGTCTCGACCTGGAGAAATTGAAACCCATCTTACCTGGCTCCCACAACTCGCCTGCAAAGATTAACCTATTCGTTTGTTTGAGCCCATGTTCCGTGCTTGGACTAACTCCACAAACGGTTCGAACAAAACAGGGAAGATTGAGGTTTTGACAACTTAGTTAAGCAGTGTGGAATCACTTGTACTCTAGGCTCCTACATCCGAAGCCCTAAAGCCATACCACTGAAGCCCAATCACATCCCCACACCCTAGACCTCTAAAATTCTCAACCCACTTGGTAATTTCCCCAAATAAAGGTCCCTCAATGTAGACCTCCCAATACTATAATCCTTATTATACGCACCCCCAAAAAGGACGGAAATCCCCGGTTATGTTCAAAAGCCCTGGCCCTGCATGGACCTCTGTGTCGGTGGCAACCGCCGCCACTTTCACAGCTTTGCGCTGTCCCTGGCAAATGCGGGTTTCCTTTTTGGAGGTCCTTTTAAACGGGAATATAGGAGTTATGTAGGGTTATCTATGGAGTTGGGTTTTGGCGCTAGGGTTTAATTTATATCGATTTCCCAAAACTAGCGGTACCCTTTTCGGGGTCCCCATAATAAGGATTATAACATATTGGGGTCTACATTGGGGTCCCCCTGGTGGGGGAAACTACCACATGGATGCTCCAAGACGGATGATGGAAACTACCGTGCGATTAATGCTGGAGGCTAGGATTTAGGTTTGGGGTTTCGGGTTCATGTGGGCAACCTGAAGCAAGAAAGGGTTTCGGGCAGGCTTTGGGTAGTCAAAGTAAAAAGAACACAGAGGAATGGCCCCAGACACAAATTGACTTGCACCAGTTTTGGAAGAATCCTTTCAGTCAGGGCATTCGCTTCTGCATGCCAACCCTGTTGGTCCTCAAATCAGCTTTCCTTCCCTGACTGCCCCCTCCAAACTTACACTCCACGCCAGAAACCCGCGAGCCAGTCGAATAGGTTAGGAAAAGGACGCCAGAAGCCCAAAAGAGTTGAAGACCACATGTGTTGCGAGGTTTCATAGCCTGTGCTAATTCAATCACCCGTCATCCCTTAGGGGCCTTTCCCTTCGCCGTCGTGCGCACAGCGCAGCCAGCGGCGAGCACGGCAGCACCGGCAGTGGCAGCACCAAAGGAGCCCTGACTGAGCTCATGGTTTGACACTGAACTGGTTCAACTATACTACTACTTCTTACCATAATGACTTGGTGGCTGTGCTGAATGGCTCACAACTTTGCCAAGGGTTGTGATTCGCCAGAATCCTTTCTGCCGATTGTCAAAACTGTCCTCAGCCTGGCTATTGCTTTCTTTTCCTGTTATTAGTATTCTTAGCACGCTTTCTTGTTACGAATCTCTGCACTCATCCCACACTTTGCCTGATATGACTGGCGAACAATGTTTGTGACGTAGGTCGAGTGGTTTGTGCTAGAATTGCTTTAACAGGCACGGTCAAAATCCTGCCACAGGCTTGCACTGCAAAACTGCAAAAGATTTGGTCCCAGCACATGAACCATGTATCAGGAATTCATGCAGTCCCAGGTCTAAGGCTGAGGACCCCCCAAGTGAAGGATCTTTTTCAACATCTATTTTTCTTGCTATCGTCGTCGTCACCACCACCACCAGCGCCGCCGCCGCCACCACCAAAACTAATACTGTTACTAAAAACTATATCAGCAAATAATATTGTTACTTTTAGTTCAGTATTTTGAGGTTTTATACTGTTGTTGAATATTGTGTAGCCCACCCGCTGTTTTCGGATGCCTGCGGCTGAGAGTTGGCTGCATGAGAGGCTGCCACACCTGGCTGCCAGCAGGGAGGGCCCGGAGTCTTGCGGCGTAAGCTAAAGGAGCCTCATGCATGCCTACCAGTATTATCCAAGTATGTATATATATATATGGATAGGATATAGAAATACATATATATATATATGTATACGCTATATGTAGAATTTCGTTATTTGCACGGAATGCGGTGTCCTTGACATGTTGCATTTCTAGATTACTGACTTAGTCAGGTGTGCCCATTTCTTCAAGGCGGAGAAGGGGCTACATAGGGATTGTATAGGGCTATACAGGGAGATGGGATAATAGAGAATAACATGGAAATTAATGTAAGCAAGGGATTTCCACAGCTTGCTGACTTCTTGCCTGGCTCGATGCGGGCCGCGCTTGGCGTGCTCGGGGGAGCCACCTTGGGACAGGGCATCCCATCACCAGACAAAGGGCAGGAACCCTCAGTGCGTGAACTTGTACTTGTTGAAGCCTTCTTTCAGGGCTTGATTGGACCATTCCAGCAAAAGTTTGGTTACCACAAAAGACCCCATCCTCCCATTCCACCTCCCGCTCGTGACATTGCTCAGCATCATCCCTATGCAAGCAGCCCTGCTTATGAATAATGATCGTTCTTTACTGCATGTACTACTCAAGCTGGCGGGCACAACATGACCTCCCCAAGAGGGTCACCCTTTTGGGTATACATTTGAGCCCTTTATAGTTATGTTTGGAAACTGAAATGTTCCGTCATGAAACTTTCATGGTATGTATATACGTATAGGGTCCCTCATATACCCCTCAGACGAATCCAATCCCTGCCGTAGGGACCCCCAAGCGTAGTTGTGATAATCTCTATGTACATTTGATAGTTTCCCAAAAATGGGGGGGACCAACATAGACCCTGAAGTTTCGATTCCTTTTCATATTGGGACCCCTACAATTGTACCCCTGATTTTGGGAAACCCCATCTCAGCCCAGGGTGCGAAGGTCAATGCACCAGCAGAGACGGTGGCTGCAGCAGCAAGGACCTCACTCCAAGGCTCGAAAGCTACAAAGGTAATGAAGGAATGCATTCTCAAGGAAATCCAATGGCCATTGCCATGAGATGAGTCTAGGCTTCCACGAAGCATGGATTGAGACTTGAGACTTTGCGATTTGGAGCTACAGGCTCATGATGTGTGAGGGCACAAAGAGTTTATGGTTTAGGAGTATAAGAGCTTAGGTAAAAGGTCTAGAGTAGCGTTCCAGATATCACCGGCTTCGGGTGCAGGAGTTGCGAACTTGAAGCAGTTACTGCGAGCTGGGTTTATGATGTCCTTGCCGAAACCTCAGTGATTAAGTGTGTCTTGGAGCTTCGTCATGACAAGATTCGTTGACCTTGCAGCCAGCTTGATGAGCCCTGAATTCGAGATCCTGGAGTGCATCACCTGACCTCCATGCAAATATCCCACCCAGAAACAAGGTACTTGCGTCTTTAGCCGCCGTGAAAGGTATGCAAATTTAATTTTGGGGATAGTCAAAGCATATGCGGCCTCAACTGTACGAAACACTGGCAAGCGTGGCGATTTTGGGAG